AAGCGGACCCAGTCTCTCCATGGCGGGAGCCCCACACACTCCACCACCGCCCCACACTCTCCACCCACTCCTTGTGCACGGGGCTGGTTAAATGAATCAAGGGACATCTATGAAATTCTATACAGCCAATAAAAATTGTGTTGCAGAGCAATTCACGTAAAGATGTCTAAAACAGAGCTTTCCAACAAGTGTGCCAGGTATGAGTTTTGATGCCCTTTGCCCTCATGGGAGCTGGTCAGGGTCTCGTGTGGGATGAGCCCCCAGTTCAAATATCTCTAACTGCAAGAAACTTTTCCTTTTCACCCTCATGTGCCATAAAATTATTGTTATTTTTTTATGTGTGCCATGGTGTAAAAAATATTCAGAAGACTAGTCTAAAACGTGTTACATGAAAAAAGATTATGAAGTGTTACAAAATGTGATGTATTTCTATAAACAGAGATAGACTTAAATGTCTACTAGGAAATATACCCTGCCTACATCTGGATGATGGGAATACAAGTGATTTTTATTTTCATGTTTTTGCTCATCTGCATTTCTCTTTTTTAATAAACAGTATTCTTTAATTAAAATAATATGACAATAATGATCATTTTCATATCTACCAACCTATAATATGCCTTATCTTGATTTAGCCTCCAGTGGGCCTATGAAGTAGGCACTACTATTATTATTTTCATGATATAAATGCTATTTTTAAATTGCAGATTTGAAGCTATTAGGAACTGGAGGAGTTGATGCAGGCAGAAAGGGAAAGGTGAAAATGAGACATATCTGAAAAGTCTAAATAAGAAAACATAGTAACTAATTGTCTGTGGGAAGCAACTATGTATGCCTCCAGGCTATTGAGGATTATGGGATTAGTGACCAAAACAGAATCGAGGAAAGACAAGATTATATTAAGACTTTAAGGAAACTTAAAGGAGGAATGGTTGGTTTTCAAGAAGCTGAGGTTGGCTCTTTACTTGCTGATATTGAGGAGCTGACAAAGTACATTGCTGGAAAGGTCCAGGTGATGGCCGGAGCTCAGGTGAGAGAGCGAACCTAAAGATGTCATTTGGACAGTTGTCCACAGTGGACACTTAGATCTGTGCGGATGAGTGGACTCTCCTGAGAAGAGAATGTACAGAGAAAAGCAGGGCACCAAAAGCTTTAACCTTTAGGCCTTGTCTCCACAGAACCCCATGAACTTGACTTCCATGTGTGGAATGATGATAGAATGGAAATCCAAGAGGCATTGTGCATGGATAAATGTTGATAATGGATGGCATGTTCAGATAGTTTTCTTCATTGTTTTTCCTTAGATCAGAGATTACTTGATATCTTTTTTAAAAAGTATAAGTAGAAAAGACATTTAATAAGCTTATAGGGCACATGTTGGTGAGCAGAATCCTACAAGATAGGATTCGAGCTGAAAGATACCCTAGCCATGTGAGGAAGTGATCAGAAATTCAGAAGGTGCAACTGAATCTTGACAGATACATGGTATGATGCATTTAGGATGAAGAAAAGGATCGGGTTATGAAAATACAAGATGGAAAGTCTCTGACTATGTATAAATGCAATGAGCAGAGATCTAAGAGTCTCAGGGAACCACAGCTTGAAAAGGAATGTGCTGTATATGTTTATGCTGGTACATATAAGATGTTTATTAGGAAATATTTTTTTCAGGCAGTAGACAGACATCAATGTAATAATGCAATCACTTTGTCATATTTGGCATTAAGAAGAAATATATTAGAAATAAATATATTTCTCTTCCAATTCCCTCTTTTAAGAGAGTTCAAAGTTATTAAATAGAATACAGAGGACATCAAAGAAAAATGAGTACATAACTGTAAAATGTACTTCTAAAGAAAGGTTAATGAACATGGTATTATTTATTTTTGGAATCAAAAGACCAAGGGATAATTTAATAAGGATCAGGATCGTTAATTTGTGCAAGATTATTGTACAGAGCTTTTTGGCATCTTTATTGCAGGTAGAACAATGGGAAATAAGCTGAAACCATTAATAAAAAACAATCCCCCCCAAAGTACATGTGCACGCACACACACACGCACGCGCGTGCGTGCGCACACACACACAAGTGTATATTTGTATAAAGAGTCTGGAAGGGTATACATCAAACTATTAATAGTTATTATTTGTATGATTATAGATGTTTTTATTTGCTCCATATCTATATCTTCTAATTTATCTATAGTAAACGTGAAATATTTGTGCAGTAGAAAAGTATTTTTTAAAGTTTTTATAGAAACAAATATGTCACTTCCCTCTGATCCCTATCACACTGTCAACCCCTAACCTTTAAAACTTATTTTTCATAAGATTTTGTGTAACAATAGTACTGTTACCCTATTTTATCTTTTTCAGATGCTAGTGAAAAATAACCACCTTTCAGACAAGATCATTGTTTTGCCAGGGAAAATTGAAGAAATCTCACTTCCCGAGGCTGTAGATGTCATCATTTCCGAACCGATGGGATACATGCTGTTCAATGAAAGGATGCTGGAGAGTTACCTTCATTCAAAAAAATGGCTGAAAGCAAATGGTGAGTTGGCCAATTCCTGGTTCAGAAAATAGCCTAACTTTTCTGTAAAAGTTGCCATCCTCTTTCCCCCACATTTAATTCTGGACAGAAAGGAGGAGAGAGCATTTCTATTTCACCAATTCTTTGATTATCTCATCTTATCTCCCATAACCAATAAGCTAGTCTCCAACCATGAAGACAAAGATGGCAATGTGCTGCACAGTATTCAATATGGTATACAGGACCAGTTCAGAGGTCTGTATTTTTGTCTCGTTTCTGTCACTTTCTTCCTTAAGGAATTTGGCCTAACACTTGACCTTTTGGCTTTGGTTTCCTCATCTGTATTATTAAAAATAACCTCTCAAGTCCTTCCAAGTGTTGGCCTTCTATAATGTGAGAAACTCTTTGGAGTCTGCTTGTTCTTTGTTCCATATTCTTTTCCTACTGAACGCCTCTATTTCCCTGTGATCACTACATATAATTGAGATAGTAATGTAAAATCCAATATTCTTTTTGTGCTTACCAAGTGTCTGCATGTGCTAAGCAATATGCATAAATTAATTTACAAAAACCTTATAAAGTGTGAATGAGGGTTTTTAATATATCTGAAGGTGCTGAGGGTCTTGGTGATTTTATATTCCTTCTGAAGGGAAGGTTTGGCAATGTCTGGAGACATTTTGGGTTGTCACGCCTGGGGGAGGGGGTGCTACAGGCTTCTTGTGCGAGAGGCCAGGGATGCTGCTAAACAACCTTCAGTGTACAGGAGAGACCCCCATGTCAAAGAGTCATCCAGCCCAAAATGTCAGTAGTGCCAAGATTGAGATCTGGGTTAGCAGGAGGCGCTATTATGATCCCCACTTTATAGAAAACTGAGGCATGTTGGGGGAAAGCAACTTGGCAAGGACACACCTCTAACAAGTGTCAGAGCAGGGATTAGAACCCAGGCCTGTCTGGCCCTGAAGCCCCTGCTCACAACTCCTGCACAAACACTTATTTTCCACTCTTCACCAGAGAGAGTGGATACGTTCCAATAGCACATTTTTTTCAATTCAGGCGTAGAAAGTAACTGGCCAATTTTAACAGTTGCATCTCTCATAAGAATTGCAGCTCCTTACCCCAATTTTATTTACTTTAAATTGCCCATGTTGTGGTTTCCTACCTTGATATCCTATGAAGACAAAATAGTGAATAAAAGTACAACTCGTACTCACCAAGTTACCAGTATATGCAGATAAGTAAAGCTTGAGGCTCATCTCGAATTTCCTACATTCTTCAAAATTTAGGGATTCAGGAATAGGCACTGTAAAAAAAAAAAAAAAACTCATGCAAAAATAAATTAATAAACTTGGGCAAAGTATACCTGATGTTAAGAGCTTCATTAGCATTCCCATAGTCAAACAGCCCAGGAAGATCTTGGAAGCCTTGTGTTCATGCTGTGAAATTGAACTGTGGGAGACGAAAGCAAAGGAACAAAGCTGCCTGGGTTTCCTCCTCAATGTCCCCCAGGAAGAATTTTTTATTTTTTTCTGGAATTTTTCAAATGGTTAAGTGCTTTCATATGATAAGATTTTAAACATAGGTAATTAACGTGCATTTATTGAGCCCCTCTAAGCTGAATATTTAGACTTAATATCTGGGTATCCTTTTTCCCCAGATATGTGAAGTGGATATGAAATTTTATAGTGGGCTATGTATCTTTAACTAGACAAGCAGAAATGAATACTGATTTTATCGGCTTTCTACCCTGTGTGTTCCTGAGAGAAGGATGATTGATTTTTTTTTCCTAATTATTTTTCTTTGCCATCAAAATAAGACATAGTTTACAACATCAAATAGTAATAAAAAGGCTTCTAATGAAAAATAGTAACCCTCTGCCACACCTCTTCCTATCCTGAGACTGCTCCCCGAAGGCTCTCCCTTTCAACTCTAGTCTCTGTTTCTTCTATTATTTACCTACATTTTTCTATATAAAATTATCATATTGCTATTCTTGTCACTCTCTGGTTGAGAAGTTAGCTCTCCTACACAGCAGCTCCTTCCCCTCTTGATGCCCCCTCCCTCCCGCCATCCTTTCAATATATTTATAGAGGTCCTCAATCTCTTATCCAAACCCTTGGGGCCAGATATGTTTCAGAATTCAAAATCTGGAGGACTTTGGAAAGGTAATACAGTCATATATCATGTATTACTTAACGCCTCCAGTGGGATCTGAGGCAACATTCCATAATGAAACACATAATATTTCTGCCACAAAACGTATGAATATGGATACCAAGTGAGGTGAAGACTACAAATAGACTCATGTCAGTTCGGGTCTGGTTTTGCCATCAAATGATGTTGCAAACTTATAAAAATCTGTTGCCTTGCAGAGTTTTTGGGTTTCAAAATTTAATATAAGGAAATATGGACCTTGATCATTATTTGGTTAAATCAATAATCAATGTTTACGTTATTATGACAATGTAAATATTGTTCAGTGCTGAGTCAAGTGGTATAGTAAGTGCATATGATTATGTATTTTCTCATGAAATCTCTTGTTTTTCCTAGGTTTTAATTGCCTTGGTTTTTCATTAGCTTAATTTTCTATATACTCGTGACTAATTTTTTCCGTGCTCCAAAAGGTCTGATAGATGCCTATCAATATTTATTCTATGGAAGCCTTCTTTCTGTAACCCTCTGTCCTCCTCTACCACACCTGCGTGGTTGCTCTCCAGTCCTATTGCATGGCTACCATACTTTGACTTGCCATCATCATTCTTTTGTCTCCCTCTTTCTTGGTTTCATCATTTCACCAAAGAATATTCTCTAACAGCTTCTAGAGAAAGTGTGCTTGAGAAGTTACTTTTTATTGAGTCCTTGTATTATCCTTTTACTGGTAGAGAATTTTAACTTGAAAACAATTTTTACTCAGTATTTTTAGGGCATCTTTTTTTTAGCTTCTGGTTTCCAATATTGGTGTTGAGCAGTCCAATGCCATTTTAACTCCTGATCCTTTAGAGTGGCGAAGTTTTTCCCGCTGGACGTTTTTAGTATCTTGTCTTTATTTCCAGTCTTCTTAGTGTGAAACTTTTTTAATTCTTGTGCTGGACATTTAGTGAGTATGTTGAATTAGAAGACTGATTTTCTTCAACTCTTGGAATTTTTCTTATATTTTAAAACTTTGATGATTTTGTCTCCTCCATTTTATCTGATATCTTTGGAATTCCTGTTAGGCTTGGGCTCAGAACATCCTCCTTTGAAACTTCCCAGGTTTACTCAAATAGTGATACATATTACATTTCTAAAGTTGTTTAATATCTTTCTGTCTTGAAATTGAAAAACCACTAAGCAATCATTATTTTGACACAGACACATGAGATTAAGCTGGGGACATATGAATGATGTTACAATTGTGCTTTTTCTCTGACTACTTCTGAAAATACCCTACATAAAATGATCTATTCTATTTTAACAGACATTGAGGGGAGCACAGTTAAAGTATGGGGGCCATTGACTATCAGATTAGATTCTACTCCCTGGATTTTTCTCTTCCACTGATTAGTTCTGTGATTGTGGCCAAGTCACTTTAATTTCCCTGTTTCTTAGTTTTATTATTTATAAAATGGGTATAATAATAGAACCTACTTTATATTGTTATAAGGATTAAATAAATTAATACACGGAAAGCCCATTGAAAAGTTTATGGCAGAGTTAGCATAATCAAGAAATTTTAGGTATCATTATTATTATTATTATTATTATTATTATTATTGTGACAGCATCTCCAATTTCTTAGGCAATCCTCATTTCTGAAATATGGTTAACAGTTCATCTTTCTTTCGGGTACAGATTAATAAATGACTATGAAGAAGAGTCTCCCTAAAATGACAGGAACAATAATGCTAATCACTGTGTCTACCTGCTCAGGAAGGCCCGACTTCAGGCTTGCCAGTCTAGGTGTTCATTTGCCCTTGAAAGAATCTGCCTTTCCCCTGGTGACTGTAGATGTTAGGAACAAAATGCAAGAGTGGGCTTGCCAGCATGGAGGATGGTGAGCCTGCATATAAGCGTAGATTCTGACAGCACCTAAAAAGATAAATAGTCAAATGATTATACTGGGACAAAGTCTAAGAATGAAAATAATAATGTGATAGAATGATGGAATGTTGATTATTTTCAAAGCTAAGTTGTTTTTGCAATAAGTAAGAGAAAAAATAAATAAAGGAAGTGCCCAGAATCCGAACACAGGACGTAGAGGAAGGCAAAAAGCCAGTAGCGAGAAGGCAAATAGGCCAGTTAAAGGCCTCCCCTGAAACCCTACAAGCTTTCATTATAACATAGGTTGTGACTTGCTTTGGTACTCTTTTTATATCCCCTCCAATCTTCTGCCTAATTTTCTTACCCTTGATTTGAGGCAAAATTATGTTTTAGCTTGTTGTGTAATAACTGAAATAGAATGGGAGAATGGAATTGGTCAAGCGGCAGGTGAGTGTGCCCCTCAATCAGAAGGCAAAAGGAGTCAACTTCTGGGTCTGTTGTCTTTTGCTCATTAGGACTGATGTTCCCGACATTCAGTGACATCCACTTGGCCCCCTTTTCTGATGAACAGCTCTACGTGGAACACTACTCCAGAGCCAACTTTTGGTAATGTTCTCTTCTCTCTTCCCTTCCTTTTCCTTCAGAGTAAACTAGAGTTTCTAAAACATTGACATTTTGGATCATGTATTGGGGGTGGGGCCGTCCTGTACGATGTGTAGCAGCATCCCTGCTGCTACATCCCTAAACACTGTACGATATTTAGCAGCATCCCTGACCTGTACCTACTAGATGCCAATAGCACCTTCCCCTCAGTCGTGACCATCAAAAATGTCTCCAGACGTTGCCAAATGTCCCTTTTGGGGGCAAAATCACCCCCCGTTGAGAACCACCAGAGTAGACAAATCAGGGAGCTGCTTATGCAATATCAAACATCCAAAAGACTGCTCTGCTGCTAAAATGACAGCATCCTCCCCCTCCGTTTCTACTTTTCACCATCCATTTCTTTGGCCAGGACTACGGCTTCTGTTAGAATGTGCCTTTGTCAGAGAACATATCAGTCAACACACCTCAATGTAAATTAATTGGTCAAATTTTTTTTGTAGTTTTTCTACTAATTGGCTGTTGGCTTTTGGACAGTTCACTTCACCGTCTGAGAATTGGTTTCTTCGTTTGTAAAATGAGAACTAACACAAAACCCCTGCCAGTTCTAAACCACCATTTCTTCTGGCATTCTTTTCTGAGAACTGGTTTTTATAAGAAGAAGGAGGGAAGGAGAATGATCTTGGACCCACAGGAGGAAGAAACAAAAGAAATATCATCCAAGTGGGAATGTTAGGTGTGTAGGAGGGAGCACAGGCATGTGCTCGCGGATGGATGAGGAAGGATGCTAAAATTTAAGCTTTGAGTTCTGACTGAGGTATGCAGAACCCTTCGACAGAGATATCCAAAGTTGATTTCCAAGTTTTTCTCTTTGTAATCCTGTCCTTTGGTGAAAGGGCAGCAAAAAGGAGGTGCTTTGGTTTCCTGGGTCACAAAGTTCTATGAGGAGTGGGATCAAAGGGCTAAGAGTTTTCTTTCTCCCCAATTCTTTCTTGCAAAATAAGCTTTCCTACCACAAGTTCATAGCATTTCATGTCTTCCGCTCCATCTGTAATTTTGAAACTCCAAGCCACAGACTTTCTAATGGGGGTGAATAGTTTCTTAATATGTGATGGGTGATGAGGTGGCGGAGACCTTAATTATGATATTGCTCTGTAAGGTCTTACTGACCCTAAATGTTTATATTTTAAAAGTGACCTCCTGAGTCAATGGAGGAGTCGAGAGGTAGGAATTTCAGGTAACAGAGTAGACCAGACTACTGGGGGAGGTTGGTTGTGTAGGCAGTCCTTGTGTGACCTCCCAACCATACCATCTGCTGCCATCTTACTACCTTGAGAATATTAATGATCACAGGGGATTGGCTAGGCTCCCCATCAGCATACAAACATGCTGCTATTTATTCCACCTAAAAGAAAAAATAAACAACATTTTCTATACCTCACATCCCTAGTCAACCACTACTCATCTCTCTAATTCCATTTGCAGCAAAATTCCTCGAAAGAGTTGTCTGTACTCCGCAGTCTCCAATTCCCTGCTTCAGTTTCTCTTAAGACATTCTACCAAAACCATCTTATCAAGGTCATTATTGCCCTGACCTCCACATTGCTAAATCCAGTGATCAATTTCTCACTTCTCAACTTCCTTCAACTACCAGCATTTGAGCATTTTCCCCACATTCTTTTGCTTTTTCTCCTGCCTCACTGGTCACTTTCTCAGCCAGGCCTCCTCTGGTTGTTACTTATCCCCTTAACCTCTTGATGTTGGAGTGCCCCAGGATGCAGCCTTTGGACCTCTTCTCTGTCCACAGTTACTTCCTTGGTGAGCTCACCCGTTCCCTTAGTTCAAATACCATCCATATACTGATGATTCCCAAGTGTATCTCTCCAGCTCAGATGTGTTCTATGAACTCCGTATTTTTCCATAGCCTCTGCCTCCTGGACACATCTCCCTTTGGAGAGACTTACCATGTCTAAAACTCGACTTCCGATCTCCCCCACTTCTATCCCAAACCTGCCCTACTCATAGTCTTTCCACCTCAGTTGCTGACATCTTTATCCTCCCAATCATTCAGGCTCAAAACCTTGAAGGCCTCTCTTTCTTTGTCCCTCATATCTAAACCATCAAGAAATTATGTTGGTTCTACTTTCAGAATATATCCAGAATCTGACCAATTCTCACTATATTCACTGTTCCTCCTTGATCCCAACACTATCATCTCTCATCTCGATTATTGCAGAAGCTTCTTAACCTGTCTATTCCCAGCATTCCCAAAGCCTTCCAGTAGGTCCTACCCAGTCTGGTTCCTCATTTCCTACTACCATGTTCATTCAGCTCCAGCCACATAGGCTTCCTTGCTGATCCTCAGATATTTCAGAACTGCTCCCACCTTAGGGCCTTTGCATTTGCTGATCCTCCTGTCTGGAATACTTTTCCCTCAATATTCACATGGCTAATTCCTTCATCTCCATATAGTCTTGGTTAAATGCCACCTTGTCAATAAGACCTAACCTAACAACCCTATTTAAAATGGCAGCCATACCACTCCCACTTTTTCTGCTCTATGTTTTTCCTCTATCACCTCCTAAAAGATATATAATTCCTTTATTTATTATTGTTTATTGTCTCTTTCCCTCCTGATAGAATGTAAGCATGCCAAGGGCTGAATTCTATCAGTTTTCACTGATGTATCCCAAGCACCCAGAACAGTGCCTGCCACATGGTAGGCCCTTAATAAATATTTCTGAATGGATAAAAACTTCAATAATCTCAAGCATCTATGGAAATGATTACTATTAAGATTTTAATTTATATCTTTCTACTTTTTCTGTTCTCTTATTTACAAAATTAGAATCGTTCAATAAATTCCATTTTATAGCTTGTTGTTTTTTTTTTGTTTTTTTACTTTGACAATACCTTGTTGACATGTTCTCATATCTTTTAGATATTCCTTTGCTGTAGAGTATTTCTTTTGTGGCTAGCTCATAATTTATTGACTCAACCTCCAATGTTGGATATTAAATTATTTTAATTACTATTTTAATCTCATAAATTCTATAAGAAACAACACTAAGGTATTGTTTCTTTATTCTACAAGAATATAGAATTTTATAGAATTCTATACCCTAAATTCTATAAGAAACAACACTAAACTGAACATCCTATTACAGAAATCTTGGTGTGCATTCTGATTATTTCCTTACAATAAACTGCTAGAAGCAGAATTACTGAACCAAAAGGTGTGAAGAAGGAACTTTAAAAAAATTATTCTTATATATTGCCAAATTGCCCTGTATAAAAGTTTTGCCAATTAACACTTCCACCAGTGGTATATGAGAATGTCTGCTGAGTCTTGCCCATACGGGATATGTTTTTTTAAATGCCAATTTGATTTGCAAAAAAAATGGTGGCCAGTTTATTTTTAATCTGTATTTCTTTGATAGCTGGTGCATTTGAATGGTTTTATTTTTAGTCAACAAACACAAGAAGCATTTTAAAAAATAGAGTTATCAAAATTCTCAGCCTTCGCTTTCCTTCTAATTCCCCTCCCTTTATGAAGAGGTTTCTGCATTAGACTACTAGCATGGGAGCCTTTGGTTGTATTGATCCAGAGAACTTAGAAGAGTCAAAGAAGTAGAGATACTGGCTGAGAGGAGGGAGGGGGATGCAAAAAGTGAGTTTGGGTGTCTTCTGAGGGAGTGAGCTGTGAGACTGAGGAACCACTAACAGGCTAAATAAATAAATAAGATCACCGATGTAATCAGTTAGTCTTCACTTCACTTTCCTATCAATAACACTTGACATTGTTGACTCTTTGCTTCACTTCTGGAGCCCAAACCTGGTTTTCCTCCTTCCTTACTGGCCCCACCTTCTCAGTCTCCTCTGCTGATTCTTCCTCATGACCTGAATCTTTCAGGTTGGATTTACTCCAGGTTTAGTTCTTAGATGTCTTCCCCTTTCTGTCTACACTCACTTCCTTACCGATCTCATTCACTCTCTTGGCTGTAAATGCTGTCTTTATGTTGATAGCTCCCAAAGTTAGAACTCCAGCCCAGACCAATCCCCAGAACCATAGAATTTGAATGTTCAGCTGGCTGTTGATGGCTCAACTTGGATGTCTATTGGGCATCCTAAATTTAACGTGTCCAAAGGCACGTCTTCACCCCCACTCCCTGCCCACCCCTGCAAAGCCGAAACAATACAAGCAAAACAAAAACCAGCTTCTACTACAGCCTTGCAATAGCCTCCTAACTTATTTCCTCTTTTTAGACAACAACCAAAACGACCTTGATAACACATAATTCAGATCATATTCTTCTGCTCAGAACCTCTGGTGGCTTCCTGCTTGTCTGCATAGTAAAAGCCAAAGTTCACACAATGGATGGGTAAGACCCTACATGATCTAGCTCCACCTTGCTACCCCTCTGATGTCGTCTCCCACCACTCCTCTCTTATTCTCTCCACTCTGGCCTCACTGGCTGGTCCCTTAGCTTCCCCTTGAACATACCAGGCTTGCTGCCATCTCACTGCCATCTCTCTGCCTGAAACACAGACGGCCCTATGGCTTGCTCTCACCTCCTTCAGGTCTTATCTCACATGGCATCTTCCCAGGGAGACCCTCTATCAATTAAAAATTGTAATCTCTTCCCTCCTGGAAGCCCTTACCCCACTTTTCACTTCATTTTTCTCTATAGCACTTATCACCATCTGCCATATTATATGTTTTTACATATGTATTTAATGTATTGTCTCTCTCCCCTCATGAGACTACAAGTTCCATCAGAGCGGCTGTTTTGTTACTGTTGTATCCCCATCGTCTAACCTAGCTAATAGTAGGTGCTCAATACCCTTTTGTTGACTAGAAGATAAATGCACTGATTTGTAAGAATTCTTTATATATTAAGGATATTAAGATTCTGTTATGTTGTCTTTAGAATTTTCAATTTGCCGTATAATCTTCTTTGTGATGGTTTTCACCACAAAAGAAGTTAACAATTTTTATGTAGCAA